CCCCCCCCCCGAGCTGTAACTGCTTGTTCCAGTCCCCGCAAAGTCTGTTACTAGTATTATAATTCTGATAATTATCCAATGTCGCCCATTTCAGACTCCTAGGAGCCCCCCCACCCCGGAATGGTACTTAGCACAGTTCGTAATTATGCATTTATTTGGTTGTTTACTTACTTAAATGTCTGCCTCTTTTCACTGGAACACGAAATGCAAAGCCTCCGGTTTCCACGCGTGTTCCTGGCGCTCGGGCGGTTCTGACTGGCGCGAGGCCGGTCCAAAATCCGTGTTTCTTGAGTAAATGAGCAGTGGAGACGTAGGTTGCCACCTGTAGGTGACTTGGAAAGCTGTAGGACGGCTCTCCAGCGGAAGTGGGTTCAGCTCGTAGAAGCTACGGCTACCGGCTGGGTGTGGTGGTGCATGCCTCTAATTCCAGCACTGTGGGAGGCTGAAGCAGGAGGATCACATGTCTGAGTCCCGCGTGGGCAATGCACTGAGATTCTGTCTCAAAACAAGTAATGGAAAAGGACTGGGGATGTAGTCCAGTGGCAGGGTGCCCTAGGTGCTACCCCCAGCCTTTCTTCAAAAGAAAAAAGAAAAGAAACAGTACCAAGGTGGAATGTTTCCTATCATCGCTGTTTGGGTTACTGTTGCTGCCAATGCCCCCAAATTCAGCCCCTTCAGGGTAACATGGGCCAGGGGGCCATCTCCACATTCCCTAAAAAGAAAACTTAGTGGGCTGCCAGGTGTGGGGTATGGAGTCCCACGCCTGTAATCCCAGCACTCTAGAAGACTGAGGCAGGAGGATCAGAAGTTTGGACTAAGCCTGGGCAATTTAGTAATTTAGCAAGACCCCATCTCAGAATAAAAAATGAGGGGCCGGGATTTAGCTCACTGCTGACAACTCACAAGCGCAAGGTCCTGAGTTTGATCCCTGGTACAAAATAAATAAATGAATAAACAAATAAATAATAAAAAATGAAAAGGGGGCTGGGAGTGTAGTTGAGTAGTGGGTTCAATCCCTCATATGGAAAAAATTAACTTTGTTTTTCTCCTCAGCAACTTTCTGAGGCTGGCTTCCTGATCAGCAGTGCTAGATCTGCAGTTCTGTCTGTCTCTGTCTCTCATTGAGCCCAGGACTTGCCAACTCCAGGCCAGTCCTCTGCCACCCACTGCCACGGCATCCTCCTTTTGCTGTTTAACACGGCTTTTGTCTCTGGCCGCGTGTCCCTTCCTTCTTTGGACAAATGCTGAACGTGCCAGACCCTGTCCTCTGTGTGCCTTGCACAGTGTTGATGACAGACAGTGCCAGAACCCGCTGGGCTTTCCCACTGCGTGGACGAACCTACTCGCTTGACCTCAGGGCCAGCCATGGTGAGCGTGGCACCTGTGGCCGTCACTTCAGGTGGTGGGAGGCATGGAGGCTGGCTGTGGGGGCAGTGGCCTTGGGGACAGTGGCCGGGGGGGCAGTGGCCGGGAGGACAGTGGCTGTGGGGGCAGTGGCTGTGAGGGCAGTGGCCGTGGGGGCAGTGGTCAGGAGGACAGTGGCTGTGGGACAGTGGCCATGGGGGCAGTGGCCGTGGGGGCAGTGGCTGTGAGGACAGTGGCTGTCGGACAGTCCCCTTCCTGCGGCAGCTACTTTTCACCCCAGTGCCGTTCCAAGCCATTACCCAGCCCTGGCCGTCATCAGCATCTGAAACATCTGAGCACCCAGAGTCATCGGGCTGCGGGCCTTTGTTTCTGCCCACTTCTCCTGAGTGCCGTGGGCTGAAGGCCACGGGCACAATGGCAAATGGCTCCACTCCATGCCTCCTGAAAGCTGGCCCCTCCCGAGCCCTGCTCGCACCAGTTCCATCAGGGAATCTGCTTTTCAGCCGGGCCTGGCAAGCTGCTCCCCGCTCAGGTGCACAGGCCTTCTAGAAGCAGGGAGAAGCTAGAGACGTGCCTGCCCTTTGTCCGGGCCTCCTCCCCGTCCCCTCCCTCGCAGGCCGGCTTTGTCAGGGAAGCAGAGGACCTGGGTCTCGCTGCCCCTTGCTCCCTCTCTGCTGCCTGCCTCAGGCCAGCATCCTGGAGGCCGAGGCCAGGCTGCCAGCTGCTGTGGGGACATCACCAGGCCACAGGGGCCTGGTCCTGCCAGGGTGGCTGGGCAGAATTCGCAGCTCTGGAAGGCACCACACTAGCCATTTGCACCTGTAAAATTCGGGTGTCATTTACCACAGCGAGTGTAGGCAGCATAACTGTCCCGTGCGCACTGCACTGCTGTCAGGGTGAGAACACCTCTGCGACCCCAGAAGGTTCCCCGTGTCTCCTCCCAGTCCACCCTCTCACTCTCCTGGGGAGACTTCTGACTTCATTTTCTTCACCACAATGAATCATGGGACCATGCAGCAGACCTCTCCTGACTTCTCTCACTCAATGTCAAGTTTTTGAGATTTATCTGCATCGTGGCATTTTATCATCAGCAGCTTGTTCCTTTCTCTTTCTCTCTAATTTTGTTGTTTTTCTTTTTCTGAGACAGAATCTCTACATGGCCTCGACTAGCCTTGAACTTGAGACCCTCCTGCTTCAGCCTCCCCAGGGCTGGGATTGTAGGCCTGCATGACCATGCCCTGATACAGTAATTTATTTCTTCTTACTGTTGAGTAGCACTTGTTATATAAGTACACCACATCATCTTTTAAATGTTTTTTTACTATGCTACATCTTATCTATTCATGTGTTGACAGGCATGTTTCCAGATAACTATTATGAATAGAGTTGCTATAAACATTCCTATATTACAATCATTATGTACTGCAAAAAAATTAAAATTGAAAAAATTCTTGTACTGTACAAGACTTTTTGTGAGCAGGCGGTTTCATTTCTCTCAGATAAATGCCTAGGAATCAATACCAGGTCATATGATAAAAGCATGTTTACATTTTTAAGAAACTATTTTCCCAGCCCAGACCACTTGACAGATCTACTGAGTGTGTATGAGGTTCCATTTTTACCACACCCCAGCTGACACTTGCTTTTTTGTTGTCGTTGTTTTAAAGGAATTTTATCGGTTCCCTCTAGATAAACATAATGATCACATTCATCATGGGGGATTCTCCTGAGCATGGTCTGGACGTGAGATGGCGTGAAGGGCGCACTTTCTGGAGGGCAAGGGTGCTGCTGTTTCTCCTTCCGTGTTAGTGGCACGTGTGAGTGTGGCCTGGCACACGTCAGTGGCTGGTGTTGGTGAGTAGTACTCCATTTACGAGCATGGCACCATCTGCCCACTGTGCCCCACTATTACAGCTTTTAAAATAAGCTTCATTGAGATATAATTTGTACGCCATGCAATTCACCTGTATAAATCGCACTTGCAGTGGCTGTAGTTTTTGCACAGGGATATGCAGCTACCAGCGATCAACTTTAGGGGTTTTCATTACTCCCGAAAGTGGGCCTCACCATTTCCTGTGGTCACACTCCAAGCCCTGGAAACCACTCATCTATTTTCTGTCTGTGGCTTTGCCCATTTCAGCCATTTCATATGAATGGAGTCATACGGCCAGGCGTGGTGGTGCCTTCCTGCAATCCCAACACTCAGGAAGCTGAGGCAGGAGGATTGCTGGGTTTGAGGCCGGCCTGAGCTACATAGTGAGAAGCTATCTAAAAAAATAAAAATAAAAAAAGAGCCACAATATGTGGCCTTTTGTACCTAGCATCTTCCAATTAGCATCCCCCCCCCATACGGGGCTCAAACACGGGACCTTTCATTTATGAGGCAGGCGCAGTGCCACTGAACTAAATCCTCAGCCCTACCTTCATGTTCTCCAAGTTCATCCGTGTTGTAGCCTGTATCAGTACTTCACTTCTTTTCACTGCTGATACATGGGTATTTGAGTTATTTCTACTTTCTGGTTATTATAAATAACGTTGCTGCAGCTGGGCATGGTGGCACACACTTGTAATCTCAGCTTCTCAGGAGGCTGAAGCAAAAGGTTGTGAGTTCAAGACCAGCATAGGCAACTTAGCGAGATGCTGTCTCAAAATAAAAATTAAGGAGGGCTGTGGCGATGATCCTCTTGCCTCAGCTTCCACGTGCTGGGATCACAGGTGAGCACCACCATGCCCGGCCGTAATCGATAGATTTTCCAATGTGACTCTGAAGTCAAACTGGGCTTCCCGGGCTCTGTCAAAGGCTTGGGCCCAGCTCACCCCAGAACCAAGGACAGCTGCCCAGGGGACGCTGGGAAGGACTCTCCCTCAACTGCCCAGGAAGGTTCTGGCAGTTTGTTAGGCACAAGCCAAGCCCGCACCCCGTTGTCATGTGTGTGTGCACACAGGGCCCTGGGGGCTGCAGCTGCTTGGGAACAGGTCACCCTGCACCGCCCTGGGCCCAGGCTGCTCTCTGGGGTGGCAGGACTCCCGCTGCGGCCCTCAGGCAGGCTGCTCGGTCCTCGGTCCTGGCTGCTCTGTTCCTTTGAGCAGCAGACGTGAAAACAGAAGACCGCGCGCAGCGGGCAGGGCTGAGAACAGCATTGAGTGCCCGTAAAAGGCCACTTAGAGCCCATTGTTGGGTCAGGCAGGAGGACAGTCGGTGGCTTCCAGGTGCACTAATGGATGTGCATTGCCAGTGTCCTTCCTGGCCACCGCGCCACTCTCCCTGCCTCCAGCGCCCTGGAGAATGCTGCATCCTTCTGGAAAAGCGGCAGTCACACCGAGACCCCACAAAGGCATCTCCTCCGCCAAAGGACCATTGTGCTCGCCACTGAGTCAGAACGGCAGTCGCTGGCACCCGGGCTCCATCTGGAACAAGGGCTGCAGGACGTCATCCGGGAGAGCCTGTGATGTCCACAAAGCCCTCTGCGAACACCCGGCCTCCAGGAAGTCCGCTCTGGTCACCTCCAGTCTGAAAAAGTGGCTGGACAAGGTCGTGACTCTGAAAGAACACACGCAGCTCTCCAAGGCAGCACCCAGCTCAGCCAGGAAGCCTGAGAACTGGGCGTTTCCGATGAGGACAGAGCCCAAGGACGCTGCCTGGGGTGGGAGCATTGCGCCGAGTGGGCCCGGGCAGGGACACCTCTCAGGAGCTCCGTGGGCAGCTGGCCGTCCCAAGCCCGCTGGCCCTGGAGGTGGCTGCCTGCACGAGGGGCCCTGGTAGTCAAGGGCCCCACTGGCTTTCTTTGCAGTTGGACAGGGCGGAGCAGAGAACTGGAGCCCGGAGCAGGCCCGGTGAGAAGACACTGGAAAGACGGAGGTCGGAGGGCTCTGCTGTGCCCACAGGGCCACGTTCCCTGTGATCACTGCTCCCACCACAGAGCCGTTTCAGACTGGGCAGCCCTGGAAGGTGCCCGGCCACAGATCACCTGTGCCCAGCTCACAGGGGTGGTGCCTGGCCCAGTGCCAAGGCCCGTGGGCATCGGAGCCAGGGTTGGAGCCCGGGCCTCTCGCCCTCTTCTCCCTCCACTGGGACTCTGCTTTGGCCCCGAGGGTACTGAAGGCCAATTCCACAGGGAGGCCTGCGCCCTGGCTCAGCCCTGAGCCTTCCCCTTCTGCTCTGCCCACATCCAGACCATCGGGGCTGTGGCTGCTGCACTAATGCCGTGCATTAGCGGATAAAAGCAGTCTCAAGGGTCTCTTCACGAGGCCCCTTTGGCTGTAATAAAGCAAATTAAAACCCCATTCAGAGGTCAATTGAAATCTTTCATTCCAGTTCCCTGCACAAATTGATTCCTCTTTGCCCTTGGGGTCAAACTGAAGGCCGGAAGGGGCCCCGCTGTGCCTGGAATGGGAGAGGCTCAGTGAAAGCAGGCTTGTGTGTGTGTGTGTGTGTGTGTGTGTGTGTGTGTGTGTGTGTGTGTGTGTGTGTGTGTGTGTCGGGGAGAAGCAGGGGACTGGGACTGTTCCCCACCTCCTGGGCCACCCTGTCCTCTTTAGTGCCAAGGACTTCAGGGCCCTTTCCGGAGACGAGCTCCACACCTGTCCCCCGAAGCCCACCAGCCTCCCTGCAGAAGATCTGTGAACTTGGGTTTGTGCTGAAGACCTCAGCGGCAGTCAGGTTTTCTCAGACCTCTGTGCACCAGGGCTTTGAATGAGACCGGAGCAGCTCAGAGAGGCTGAGTGATTCACTCAAGATCACCGAGCTCGGAGCTCGTGGTTCCCTACTCCAAACACCTGATTTCCTCCCTCCCTGGCTGCAAACCAGCAACAGTTTCCTTCTGCACCACACTTTGTGGGGGAAGGGTACTTTTGTTCAACCCTGATAGCTTCTTAGTTGGAATGGACCCTTGTAAAAGATTTAGAAGAGGAAAAGGAGGCTGGAGGTGTAGCTCAGTGATAGAGCACTTGCCTGGCGTGTGGTCCTGGGTTTGATCACCAGGACTGGAGAGAGAGGAAGAAAAGGAGAGTTTATTAATTTATATATAGCTTCTTCAACAAAGAAAGCAAACTTTTAGGGAAGTGCTGCTGAGGTAGGATAGAAGAAACAGAGAGTAGAAAGGAGACATAAAAATCATAATTTTAAAACTGTTAAGAAGACTGCAAAGTTAAGCAAGGTTATTCGTATTTGTATTCCATGTCTTTACTCCCTAGGCTTGTTTTTTCTTTTCGGTGTGGCCCTGAGGCAGGAGATTAGGGCGTGGCCAGCAGGTCGGGCGAGTGGGCGCGGCCTGTCAGCCGCCGAGATCCAGGACATGCGCAGAAAAACAGTCCAAGCCCTGCACCTGGGACCAATCAGAAAGAGCGATTGTTATGGAGCAGCCTGCTTCTAAAAGTAGCTCACCAACTAGACCTCACAGAGGGTTGCTCACCTCTCCTTCTGGAGCTGGATTCCAGGTTCTTCTCCTCTCCAACAAAGAACTGAATGAAAGGAGCAAAAAGCAGTGGCAAAGTTTATTCGAGAAAGTAAAAGTGAAGAGTGTGAGAGAAACTGGCTCTGCAGAGCGGGCTTAGGCCAAGTAAATAGAGAAAGAGGAAGAGAGCAAAAGCAAAAGTACACGCTGCCTCTGGGAAACACAGCATGGGGTATTGTGGAAAGCCACGATAGCAGTCTTCAGGGCATCCACATGTCCTTTTATGCTGTCTACATCTGGAGAAAACCTGAGGTCTGGTTAGGCCTCCAGTTGAAAGCCTGCTCCCGCATGCGCAAGGCTTTGGGAACTGTTCTGCACGCGCGCACGTGTCCAGGCTCTGCGCGTTAACGCGTCACGCCTACCTCCCCACTCAGCTTCGCCGCAGCCTAACCTCCTCCTCACTCCGTTCTCCTGAGAAATTAAGCAGGCTCCCCCCCGCCGCGTACCGGGGATCGAACTCAGGTCCTTGTGCTTGCGAGACAGGCACCGAACCACTGAGCTAAATCCCTGGCCCTTTAATCTTTTTAATGAATGTAAAACTGCACTTCCTGTTGTGATTGTCTTGACTAATTCTTTATTCAGGACAACAATAGCCCAAAAAGCGCCTCAAGAAAGAGTCTGCAGTACCCCCTGTAACGGTACCAGGGATTGAACCCAGGAGGGCTTGAGCAAGTGCTTTCCAGCTGTGCTACATCCCCAGCCCCTTGTTTTTTCCTCATCCAGATCCATAGCACCTAAATCCTGTAAAGACCCCATAAATCCATAAATCAACCTAGATGAAAAGGTAAAAGTCAGCAATCTTACTGTGGACAGGTAAATTAGGTATCTGTGGGCAGTTCCACATTGCCAGCTGGGAGAAACCAACATGGAGGACAATCTAGACACACGGGAAGAAAGATCCTTGACCACCCATACCAAAAATCCTTGTTCATTCCTTGTACACTTGCTAGGTGACTTGCTTCCCCATTGGATCCCCATTTAATCAATATTACCCAACAACTATACTTGTCATAGTCTTATTGGTTGATTGTAGTTTTGTCCGACCTCATGTCCACCTTGTGATTTCTCATTGGATCAATATTACCTAAGTGACTGTACCTGCAAGCTTACTAGCTGACTAGTTTTGTCCCACCTCGAACCTGTCCCACCTCATGGTTTTGTCCCATAAAACACCTTTGAGAAGCAGGGTCAGAGGGTTACTCACCTTCTGGTCCCCCTGCTATCTCTCTTGTCAGAAGCTGTTTTTCTCTCAATAGATTTTTCGTAATCTTAACCTCCATTGTTCCTAGAATTCATTCTTAGTTTTAGAGAACAGGAACTTGCGCTTCAGATAACTAGCAGCTTTGCGAGTTCCATCTATCCCCCTATAGCAATCTGACCCAAAGATGAAAACACACACACCACACACAAACTAAAGCAAAAGAAAAAAAACATTCAAAGAATATTTTTAGGAAAAATATCTCAAATCACTCATTAAAAAATTATTTTACAATGTTTAAGTTTTGGTTTTTATTAGTACATGTCTGCAGCATATTTACTTACTTCCATCATGGAGAATCGGTACATGTACATAAGACATCTTAATTTTCTTTATTTCCAAGGTTACCCATCTTTGTGTGGGTTTTTGTGGTACCAGGGTACGAGCTCAGGACCCTGCACTGTCGAGGCCGGTGGTGGCACCACTGGGCTAAATCCCACTCCCTAGGTCACCCCTCTTAAAGGACACTTCCAAGACACCCCAACCCCAGCTCATAGG